TCTCTCTCTCTCTCTCTCTCTCCCACACTGTCTTTCTGTCTCTGCCCCTCCCTGCCTGCTGCCCAGCCTCTCTTCACCACTTGCCAGACGAGAAGGTGAAGGGAGCATACTCGGACATTAGAGGGGCGAGGGGGGGTCACTAAGAGGAAGCTGACCGCTGTGGGCAAGAAGAAGAAACGACATTCACAGTAGAACAAAAAGCAAGACTGAAAAAGTTCCAGCTCTGGCCTGACTGTTTGTAATCTCTCGTGTTTTCAGTGTGCACAGCTGCTTAGTTTGAAGGCTAAGATGAAGAAAGGGGACAGTTATAGAAGGTATCAGTTTGAAACTGTTTCCAGTTAAGTTTCTTTGCTCTTCTCTATTTGGCGAATATGAATATATATATATATGTATATGTATATATACACATATATATTTATTCCTGCTGTGCTGTTGGCCAGAGAACAGCACCAGCTCACCTGCTCTCAAAGAGCTCCTGTCTCTATGTTTTTAATTATTACGATTATTTAAACCTTTAAACATTCATAATGTGATTTCTTTTTTTATGTACATGTGTAAAACATGAGGGCTCTCACTGCTTTAAAAAAAAAATTCACTTCTTTTGTTTTGGTTTTTTTTGGGGTTTTTTTTTTTGCAGAGGAAATAGTGTGCCTCCAGCATATCTCCTACCCTAAACTTGGAGTGATATTAAATTTTTATTTTATGTTTTGTTTTGTTTTTTTTTTTTCCTGTTTGTGTTTGGAGCAGTGAGAGAGCAGATCATATGTTATGCCTGCACATATACACACTTATTTCTAACCTACATTCCAGGAAAAACAAAAAGTGCACATCATTCCGTGTTTGCTGCGTTTCACACGCATTTACAAGCCAGTGTGACACATTGAGACATGTCCTGGGAATCCAACACCTCACTGTGTGACGAAGCAAGACCAGGGATAAACGTTAAGCCAAAAAAAAGGTCTTATTGTGAGAAATGTGCTTTTTATTTTTTTTTCCTTCCACTTCTTACTTGTACTACCAATGTGTTACAGGCCATATTTACAGATGTCCTGTCACTCAGAGGGACGAGTCACAGGGCTGTGGGTTACAGCCAAAACATTATCCTGTTCACTCCCCTCAGCAGTGGTTATTATTTACAGTCGCAGTCAGACATATTGGTTTGAGGGACATGAATGTGTGCCTCAAACTACTATAAAAATAATCTAATTAGATTAATTTACAGGGAACACTGTAAATGTTTTAAATTTGTCCGTGCGCCATGATTACTGTAATTATGATGATTGTAATAGTTACCCTTTTAACTATGCAGCCCTTTGTTGCCAGGATTTATGAAGCAGTGGATACTCCTTTGAACTCAGATTTCACGTCGTAAAACTATGTCTGGCCACTTTATTCTGAGCATTTTAATTTGTTCACATTATCTCTTGGCGTAATGGCCACAGATCGGGGACAGTTCATATTAAAGAAAGTGTGTTTTGATTACAACAAATATGTATTCAAATGGTTCTAAGAAAGTGTTTTACTGTAACCAAACAGTTTTAGATATTCTTTGTTTCTTGTTTTGTTTTGTTTTTTAGTTAAAAAGGAAATCTGTATTGACCAGCAGTGGTTGAGTGAGAAGGGTTGAGTTGCCAGTGTTGGGAATAAAGTAATCGTGCCATCTGGTACCCATCACTGGGCCACAGCGACATAAAGGACCGTTCGTGTTTGTGCTGTTGTGGTATTTTTGGGCAGCTTTGTCATAGCTACATGCTGCTTCCCAGAATCCAGTGAGGATTACACTGCCTAAGAGGTAATTAAATTGCCACTGCCCTTGGTTTTATTTGTAATGAAATGTGCAAACAAAACAAGAGGGAAAGAAATAGAGGCTTTGTGCAAAACACTGACTGATGGATCGAAGCGAATGCAGAATGCTACATTTTATTATTGTGAACGTTTGTCCAGCTGGTGGATCAGGACCTCCCTTGTGCATTAAGTTGAGGGAGATGTTCTTTCCTGTGATTCTGGGGTAAGAGCAAGATTGACATGAACAGGCAGAGTTAAAGCTTGAATTTTTCTTTGGTTTTTTTTCTGTAGCTCAGTCATGGATGACAAAGGTAATCTGCGCCTTCATTGAACCTAGAAGGAGCACTTTTGGTGTTATCTTTCCAGGTTTGTACTCGAAACAGTGTTTTCTTTGCTTGTACGTGGTGACTATATGATGTAAGCTCAATATTCTTGCTCAGTGTTCAGTCACTGGGGCACACCTAAGCCATATGCTATGATTAGAGGTAAAGGCAGGGTCAGGAGTGAATACTTGAGGTCTCAAAGAAAAAGACAAATGTTGCATTTGCACCCCCATACTAATCCCAAAGCTCCTCCGTGTAACATTTATTTCTCCGATGGATAAGAGCTCACCCTCCAATGCTGCATTGCTCTCATTGCTGAACTGTCTGCTAATGTCTATGTGCCTCGATCTGTGTACACATCACATTGAAGCCACGTCTTTCACCTGCCCCGCTGGGCATAAATCACCTGCACAGCCATGGTACACCCACACAGGTGCTGTCACTTTGCTTCTCTGCACCATGTGAGCCTCTACAGACCACGTTTGACTGACACGCCCCTGACTGTACTGTTCACTTCTATCGAGACAAAACGTACTCCCGCCAACCTGTAATGAGCGCTAATCTGCCAGAATAACCGAGAACACCTGTGTGGGTGCACAGAGCCCTTAACTAATTTGAGTTTTGCATTTTTGTTTTTCTCCAGTCTTGTCTGTTTAGTTAGTGACAGCTCCATTTACAACCGCCTTTCTGTAATGTGCCTAAATATGGAGAGGAAGAGTATTCATCTTAATTTTGCCTTTCATATGAAACATATTCAAGCCTGAAAAGTAAATAAAATACTTATTACTTATACATCTTTGTTAGCCTTTTTTTTTTAATGTGCTGGTGTGACTCAGTGAGGTTAATTCTTTTCAGTTCCAAGACCAAAATGTAACTGCAACAGGTGTCACTAACTACACTACGCCACAGGAAATCTGTACTGTAGTTTCAATATGAGAATGTGTGAACAGCAGCCTGAAAGTGACCAAAGTGTTGCTGTGCTGAAAGTTTATTATCAATACCTTAAACCCAACGATCTGAAGGCAATTCTACTGTAAAAGAAACATAAGTACATTATTGGAAAACAGGGCAAAAGGCCACGTTGTGGTAGATACACCAGGGGGGCCACCGTGGCTCAGGGGGTTGGGAATCGCATCTGTAACCGGAAGGTCGCCGATTCGATCCCTGGGCTCTCCGTTCTGGTCGTTGTGTCCTTGGGCAAGACACTTTACCCTACTTGCCTACTGGTGTTGGCCAGAGGGGCGATATGGCAGCCTCGCTTCTGTCAGTCTGCCCCAGGGCAGCTGTGGCTACAACTGTAGCTGCCTCCACCAGTGTGTGAATGTGAGAGTGAATGAATAGTGGTATTGTAAAGCGCTTTGGGTGCCTTGAAAAGCGCTATATAAATCCAATCCATTATTACTCGTATTGAGTTAGACTTGCGTTCTTGCTAAACTGGTGTAATTCTTTGTGGGAAAATTATTGGGTTGAGAGCTGGCGCCTGATTTCAGTACACTGAAGTCATTGTCATGTTCAAGAAGCTTTGTGATATGGCGCATTATCAGCCATCAGAAGCCATTGGAAGATCTGGGATAGACCGCAGCAATACTTGGGCTGTGGCACTGAACTCGGTAATAACGGACCCAAAGTGTGACAAGACTACATCCCTCACACCATTCATTACATCATCACTCCAAACCTGAACCTTTGATAAAAGGGAGGATGGAGTCATGTGCGTATTGTAGCCCCAGTTTCCTAATCTTAGCTCAGAGGATTGGCACCCGGTCTGGTCTTCTGCTGCCCAAAGATGCTCTTCCCCATACCCTCGTTGTAACAAGTGGTTACTTTTGTGGCTGTTGCCTCCCACTCAAAGCAGTCGAACCATTCTCCTCTGGCACCAAAAGGCATTTTCACCCAACTGCTGCTCTGGATATTCTTTTTCTGACCCTAGACATGGTTGTACGGAGAAAGAAAAAAAAATCACAGTAAATCAGCAGTTTTTCATATACTCAGACTAGCCAGCGGGTGTCCACCCATATGGAAAAGATATATATAAATCTTATAAAGTTTGTATCTGTCTTGTGTGAAACTTGTATGAAAAGCATATAAGAGTGAAAACAAATATAAGATCCCTTGAAAAATTATATAATGAAACTTGTATGTTTTGGATACTTACTAAAACAATGTATGAAAGTAATGAGAAAGTGGCCACTTTCATGAGTA